ATATATATATATAATGAATAAAGTTTTAACATTTTGTGTTTGATTTGTTGAGAAAATATTAAGTGTTTTTTTTAAATGTTAAGAAATTTAATCAAATAAAGTATTAGGAAAATACAATTATAAAAATGTAAATATGAAAGCTTGGGTGTGAGATTGTAAATACATAATAATTGTGTGCTATGCATTTAAATGCCCCATGCACTCTTAAATTACTCTTATTTGGTTACTAATACTAATTTATAAAAAAAATTAATAAAATAATTCACTTTTAAATTTTTTAATGGGATAATAACTTATTTCTATGTTAAATATTATATATATTTTTCAAAAATATTAGTTGCTTTGATAAATATAGCTTAAATTCATGCCTCAATAATAGAAATCAAGACAAAAACCATCATAATAGGCCCAATTAACTACAAAATTTACAATATGTTAAACTCACAAAATATATTTTTCCTCACAAGTAATGAAATATATTTTTTTTAAATGATCTAAGGTTAAATGAACTCACAAAATATATTTTTTTTAAATGATCTAAGGTTAAATGAACTAAACATAAACATACTCGAACTTATTTATATATGTTCACGAACAAACGCATTTATTGCTAAACAAATAACTTGTTAAATATTTAATTTTAATAAAGATGATAGCTCATATCATATATGACATACTATTTAAATAAAATTTAATATGCTAAAAAATAATTAATTATATATTTAATATTAATTAATATATTATCATCAATTAATAAAAACTTCAAGTTTAAATAATTTGTGAAGGCTCTACACAAGCTCAAACCGAACATGAACAACTTACAATCATACCAAACCAACTCGAACCTATAATATACTGGATTCTAGCACGCCGCATACTCCCCACCTTCCTTCACAAAACCCATGAATTCAACAAATATATTTCTTTTGACCATAATTATAACAAGTGATCAAAGTTCAAAGAGAAAATCATGCAGGATCAGCCTGGATGGTTCTCTCAAGAAATTTTGTAGAATTCTTCATCCAAGGGTGGGATAATCTACCAAGAATCCTCCTAATGTACTACTCCAACTTCATCTCCTCCTCCGAATTCTACTTCCAAACCCTACTCTGCAACTCGCCGGAATTCACCACCACCGTCATCAACCATGACCTCCGCTACATCTCATGGGATAATCCCCCCAAGCAGCACCCCCGCAACCTCGCCAGCGCCGACCTCCACAACATTATCAGCAGCAAAGCTCCCTTCGCTCGTAAATTCAGAGTGAATGAGTCTGTTCTCAGTCGGATCGACGAAGAGTTCCTCAACCGGCACGGCATTGGCGACGAGAATTTTGTGCCGGGAGGGTGGTGCTCGGGATTGCCGATGTGTTCGGAAGTTGGCGATGAGAGGAGGATTGAGCCTGGAGCTGGAGCACGCAGGCTAGCGCAGCTCATGGATGGGTTACTTAAATCCGATAGATTCAAGAGTAATCAATGTAGATAAATGAGACATTATTGTCGTGTTGCGACGATGTTATGTCATCATATATCTCGTCATTTGTGGGTGACGTGACGTCCCATGAGTGCTGGTCCGGACATGTGGCACGCCTGAATTGATGTAATATTTTTTCATAGATAAATTTCTCCAATATTGATTGTAATTAATCATGAAGGGTAAAGAATTAAATTTTAATGTTTGACTGAATAGAATAATACTTGGATTATGGATATATGAATTAAAAAAAGTGAGTTCTTACATACATGCCATCCAATTGTTATGTATTTACATAACTAACATCCAAATTTTATTTTTTATATTCA